TAGCTCCTCTAACCCAAATGATGCAAAAGGATTAACTTTCGTTTTCCATGAATGGAGAATCCCTGAAGTGGGAGAAGCTGCCATTTGAGAGGGAAGTAATTGGTATATATATTTAAAAAAAAAAAAAAAAAAAGAAGAAGAAGAAGAAGAAGAAGTGGAAGGCCAAGGTGGCCAGCCCCTAAACAAGGCTGGGTCTACTCAGTACTAGCCAGCAACTGAGGTCAGAGAAGAGGAACAGAGAGATTGTATCCCTAGATCTATACCTAGAGCCTTCCTGCTTGTTTTCCAGCTCTCCTCTGTGTGTGTGTATTTGGATCTATATGTGTATAAATGTGCAATATTTTCCAGCATCATTCCCATCCAAATTATTCTGTCCTATTTTGAGTACCTGAATCAAAACATATATCTGAACACTTCATTTAGAAAATATCATCACTGTGCAAATAGTGAATAATATTAGGTGCCACTTATATTGTTCATTCTCTTATATGTGGATGAGCCCTTGACTGCCTGAGAAGTTTTCTAATCAACTCTTCAGGAAAAGAGGATCAGCTGTCTTCAGACACAAGAGAATGGTTACTTTTACTGTGGTGCCCCCTAGTGCTGATTGGATTAGACTCACTTTCTGTATTTGCCAAAATATAGACCACACAAGAGAAGCAAAATTTGGAGAGTTAACAATGTTGGTAATTTTCCCTGTATTTCCTTTGGCGTACGAGAGAATGAAGAGTGTTCCTTTAGCATGATTCACAAGATCCTCTGTGAACTGCTTCCCACCTCACCAGCTTTTCAGCTTCATCTCCACCACTTTCCCACAGGAATACTCAACTTGAGCTATTCAGGAAAACTTGCTGTTCCTGCCTAGTAAGCCTCCCGCCCCTACCCACCGATTCCTCCTCCTTCTAGTATTAGCTGAAGCATTATCTTCCACTGCAGGTTTTCCTGACTCCCCAGAAGGCTGAGGCAGCCCCTCCCTCCTCTCATCTTCTCATTGTCCCTTGAGCATGTCACTCTTTTGTCCCCACCCTGCACCTTGACTGTGAGTGCAAATAGTTCAAAACCTTCTCCAATAGATGTTTATATCTCCAATGCCTCAAACAGTACCTAGCACAAGTAAACATTCAGTAGAAAAAAATCTATGTAGGGATGGCTTCATTGAGAATAGGAAGAACGATAGTGTAGGAATCAGGAGTTTCTGATGAATTAACTAGCTAAGTGATCACGAATGGTTCATCTACCCTCTCTAGGTTTCTTTTCTTATCTGTAAATAGACTATATCTAATACCTGTCCCCAAATTCAATGATTCTATATGTTTAATGCCTCCTTTAGAAGCCTCAAAATGCCTTATGACAAGCCAAGTCAACTTTGGATGTTATGTTTTAATTCTGAAAGATTTACTTATGTAAAGCAAATTCAAATGCCTTTGAAATTATCTTATTTGCAGGTCTATCATTAAAAAAGAATTTCTAAAAACTTGCTAAATTACATGGAGACATTTAAATTAAGCTAATCTGAAACAAGATTTTCTTCAGCAAACTCCTCTTTCTCTTATTAAATGATACAAAGAAAGGTCCAAGTTGTAGCCGAAAATTTCATTAAGAAACTGAATTCTAATTCCAGCTCTCACTGATACAGAACTGGTCAACCCACTTTTCTAAGTATCTCCACTTCGTTTTTCCCAGCTAAAAAAAAAGTGATAAAAATGTAAGCCTTTAACAGTAGGAATTGCTGAAAAAATAATGACTAAAAGCCTTCACATCTTTGAGGGTGATGATAAAGGTGATACGAATCTTGGAAGAGCCAAGTTTCAATGGTTTCAATGAGGTTTCTCACACCTTATAGGTCAGCCTTTTCTGCCTTTGTTCCATAGCTGAAGTTCCAAGTAAGACTGGAAACCTGACAATTTAAGTGGATGTCCCAATGTAATATCCAAACAGTGTGTATTGGTTTTGGTGACAGAAGCATTGAATTATATACCTTGTGTCATCAATATTCTTACAGGGCATTCACTTCTTTCCCTTTTCTAAAAAGTGTGTTTTGCTAATCCAGAATAGGTTATTTAGATATGTGCAGAATATATAACCTAAATATAGAAAAGTATATGTGTACAAATTTGATTCCTCTCAATCCCTTCTTAGGAGCCAGGAAATCCATAAGCTTAAACACAACAATCTACTAACTCACACTTTGTATTTTTCAAATCCTTATATCCATTCTATGAACATATAAACTATATATTCATAAGATATTGAGCTGGAAGACATCTTATTGGTCATCTGATCCTACTTTCTCATAATACAGATGATAAAATCAAGGCCCAAAGAGGAAAGTAAATTAGATGAGGAGTGGGTAGGGTCTAACATTTTTTCTGGCATCTTGAAAACAAAATATTCTGCATTTCATGATTGTAGATAGACCTAATCCAGTGATGAGAAAACAGAGGTTACTAAATAAACTTGATTGAAAGGAAAATTGACAGCCAAATGGAGCTTGGTAGCTATCTCTGTATTTATAGAGCCATTCATGTAGGCAATTTTTTATAGACTAAAAAAATAAATCTAAGAAATAAAGGGGAAAATCATAATTATTTCCCAAAAACCTTTCTCTCGCAATAAAAGAGGTCCAATTTAACTGGGTAAATGGTGAGCATTTCAGCTCTATTTCACCTCCAATACACATCACTGTAACATTATGTCTTATAAAATAGAGGTTTGACTTGCATCACCACTACCAACACCACCACTACCACCGCCCCCCAATCCCTCAATCAAAATTCCAAACAGTATTGTAGATGAGTTTTAAATGGCTACTAGTCTATGTCTCTTTTTCAACAGCTGCTCTACAATGCTCTCTCTCAATCTCTCTGTCTCTGTTTCTCTCTGTCTCTCAAACACACACAAACACATACACACAAACACACACACACACACACACTGCTGCTACCACTGCCACCAACATTATTTGGTAAACTATCAGGTTCTAGGGAAAACACACACAACCCATCTATGCTATCCTTCTCATAATGAAGTGTAAATAATAAACACAAGATTAAATGTAAGGACCCATTGTGCTGTCCCAGATCCTATAACAATATAAGAAATTACATTCGCTAATTAGAAATAAAAAATTTATAATTAACATCAAGTGAAGAATTTCAAATACCTGAGCAAAAAAAAACTATATTCAGAGTAGACAGAAGCATGTTTCTTAAGCAAACAACTCAAGTAAACCACCTATGTCTTGCTTCCATCTCTGTGCCAGGACTATAGAAGCTAATTCTCCCCTAGAGATCACTCACCATGAGGTTTACTCTCCTAGAAACCAGCACCCTGCTTTTCTTCCCACAGCTTTCCTTCTGTCCCAGAGTTGCTGGATGGCTTGTTGGAAAGGACCCCCTCTTTTTCTCAACATCTCCTGGATATTGATAGTCCAAGGTGATCCCAATCACCAGCAAGCTGTACAACTGTTTCACCTTTTGCTCTCTCCTGCTCAGAGCCCTCGTGCAATCAGTTAGCCTTGAATGGAGCCATGTGTCCTGTGTTTTATCATCCCATGGTGTAAGGAAATATGTAACACTGTGGTTGTTAGAAAAAGCACTCTCAGGGCTCCCAGACTGGTGAATGCACTCAGCTGTTCTATATTTGGTTACTCTCTTTGTTTTCTTCTCAAAAGAGCCTAATTCCGGTCGATGTCTTGGGCATCCGGTCGATGTCTTGGGCATCCTGCCACGGACACCTTACTCTTCCCCCACACCCTCTCCCCGAATCGCCTGCTTTAATTTCACCCAAAGAGTTCTGCGAGAAGACGTAACCGTGTGGTGTGATGAGGAGAGGACGAGTCTGTTGTTGTGCTCACTGGTCTGCAGACCTGAGCGTGACACCAGCTACACTTCTGGAATTTGGAGACACAAGCACTGTCTGTGGTACAGTGATCATAACCACACACACTCTTACCAGCCTCCATGCACTGAAAACCCTATTTCCTGTAGGCAGAAACAAGCCCAGGCATTTGCCAAGACTGCTCATCTCATTCTGGTTTCATTGGAGGTGCTTAATCTCAGACAAGACAATCAGAAATCAAAGTTTGTATTACCTGACCTTTATCAGGGAGAAACATGTCTAAACCAAAGCAACCAGCTGGAAAACAAGATTATCACACTAGCTCGACAAAGGAACACGAGGAGAGTATAGATTTATTTTTCTCCAGTGGCATCTTCTGCAGTGAAGAACATCTTTAAATACCTAATAATGCTTTTATATCTGAACTAGTGAATAAGAAAAAATAATGCAAAAGACAGAAGTGCGGAACAAGAATAAAGTGAAGGAAAAATGGAAATATTTTAATTACATGGGGAAAATACTAGAAAGATAATCTCCTCCTACATGATGTATTTAATAAGGTGGGAAAAAGATGAAATGATGTCTTTAAGTTATGACTGGAAGAGACAGATTGTGAGAAACAATATCTGATTAAATCATTGGGGTGAATGAGTGAGCACGTAGGCACACACACATTGCTCCCCTATTAATATTGATACCTTCAGCATTCTTTAAAAAGAAAATCACCTTGCAGGTCTATAGAGTTTATGAATATTATGGGAAAGTGGAACTGGTCTCTTTCTTATTTCCTTTTAATATTAATTGCCTGATCAAACACATTACTATCACAATGGGTAGACCAGGTATATCAGTGACTCAAAGTTTCAAAGTGACAGCTGATAAAGGGGTACCAGGATTCTTGCACTGCAAAGAAAAAGAAAAAGATCTAAAAGCTGTGCCTCTGCCCTACCTCCACTCTGCCCTACCACTGCCACTGCTGAAAAGAAGGAAGGAAAGGAGAGACAGAAGGGCGTTTAACCACACTTTATGATTGCTGTGGGGAGGGGAAAAAAAAACTCAACACTTTTGGCATAAGATTATTTCCAAGCGACTGTTTGCGGCTGTTGCAGCTGCCATCAGCACGAGCTGGTGGGAAAACAGCGCCCAGTGGTGCATCTTACCTGAAGAGCAGAGAAGTGCAGGCAGATGTAGGTGAAGCACAGGAGCAGCCCCAGTCCCTGAATTACAGAGGCCACCAGCAATAGCTTGTTCCTCTCGAATCTTGGCCTGGCTGCATTTCCCACATTCTCTTCCAGGGGTTGGACCCTTTCCATCTTCACAATCTGGGTAGAGGGAAAATGAAGATATGGAAAAGGGGAACCTGGGATAAAACTGATGTTTTCCCCACAAAGGAGGAGGTAAAGGCAAAACAAAGCCTATCAATCAGAAAATAGGCAAAGGTCCCAGGGCCAGAGATAAAAGGCGATTGAAAGAGCAAAGCGGACTCTCTCAGTTTTAACGCTGCAACTTTTGCAGGCAGGCGGGGGAACTTCTTTGTGACTAATCTGAATTTCCCCTTTACTTTCTTTCTTTTTTTTTTCCTCTGGGCTAACAGGGAGTTGTTTTTGTGACATTCCAGTTCTGATTTGAGTGACTGTGAAATGACAGTCATAAAAGTATGCTATTTTCTTAACTCATTGCACCAGTAACAAATTGTGGGTCACTTGGTAAAGATAAAAATCATCATCCGTTAATGTAGGAGCTCATATATACCTTCCCCAAGGTGTCTGAAATCATAGAATAGATTTAGGGGAAATGCTGGCCCAAGGTTCTTATCTGCACTTTACTATGTAACTAAACATTGAACCCCTCTTACAGATTCAGAAAGAAAGCACACACAGATCATTCTTGAATGAAAAAGATAAAACAAGAAAATAGGACAGTGGGTCATGCAGAAGTAAAGAAGTGAGATCCTTGGTTGTAGTCTATTGCATAGAAATAAACAAACTACATTTCTGAAGCATTTACTATGTGTCAGACACTGTGTTAGATGACCTTGCAATCTTTTTCTCATTTAACCCTTTGAGGCAAATTCAATAAAAAATTATATGATTAATTTTCTGCATACCAGAAAAGAAGCAGAAGGGTATCATTTTCCTCTTTCCTTCCACTTTACATTTTTCCCATACATAATTTTTCCATGAACGAACAAATGAATAGATGTAAATAAGCCTTGAAGATTATTTCTTTCTTTGAGGTCGTGACTGGCCTCAGAACTTGGAAAGTAAGAGTATTCTATCAATAGACACCAGATACCCTTTACCACTAAAATAAACAGTGAAATGAAATAAATGATAAAATTACTTATAATGTCAAGTTCAAATTGGCAAATATTTACTGAGTACATCATATGAGCCTGGCACTGTACTGGAAAGGGACGCTGGGGAAAAGCTGTTTAAGACAGAACTGTCTCTCTTTGTGGCCAAGTATGTCCCTCTGAGCTCCCCATAAGGCACCCAACAGATATGTAAAGAAAGGAGGGAGAAATATTTTGGATATTGACAGTATAAGCTGTTATACACCACTTCACAGAAAACATGGAAATGAGGCATATTTAAAAGAGAAAGTTTGTGGGAAATGTAAAGTATATTTATGACTACAGTATTAATAAATTAAAATATGAAATAATACCTTCCCTACAATAATTACACCTTGCATTTCGAGAACATATTGGTCTTCAGAAATTTAAGTTTTATCTGAAAGATAAGGTAACTAAGGCTCAATATCATAGACTCCAAGCCAAAACTATAAATCAAGTCGTATCTAAACATATTTGTCATAGTTATTCCTTTGAACAAAGCTTGTGTTACATACAGGATGTGGAGAAAAAAGTTGAAGGAAAAATCAGTGCATAAAGCCCAATTTTTGTGTAATAGTTAATCCTAAAAGAGTATTAAAATCACTATTTACTCATCAATTTTTAAAAAATGACTAAGAGTCAAAGCAAAAAAAAAAAAAGCCATAAATACTACTGGAAACAAGGAATAAACTGAAAAAGTAGTAAAAACTATGCATGCTGAAAATCATAGATAACATTTTTAAATTACTGTCAAGAGAATGAAAAAAAACAAACATTTACCATGCACACACTTGTGCTTTAAGCAGCATTTCTTCTCACTGTTAATATCATGGCTCCGAGGAAGAAAAATCTTTGCACAGAGTCATCTCTACCCACATTTAGGCTAACACTTTGATGACACACCTCTCATTTTTATTGTCTTGTCATCCTACTACCATATTTTGCCTAGTTGTAATTTTTGTTGATGTTTAAGTGATATTTTACACTTAATTGTCTCTTTTTATTGAACACGTTTTCACAGTTCTTCACATTCTTTGTGGGAAGAGAGATACACACAGACACACACACACACACATACAAATCAGGTTGGAAGTTTCAGGCACAACGTTTTGATAGACTATCTAGGCATTCCAAAGTTCATCATTGGGCTGGTCTAGCATTTTAACAAATGAAATCACTATTAGAGTTATCATTGCTGACCTTTCAGTCTCAGGCACATGGGCAGAGTCCTCCATCTTCAAAACATTTTTCAAAAAACAAAGTTTAATTGTTTTCAAAGGGGTCGGAGACGTTACTAAATCTATGGGCATTTTTTTTTTCATTTGTATTTATTTATTTATTTATTTATTTTAGAGACAGGGTCTTGCTCTGTTGCCCAGGCTGGAGTACAGTAGCATAGTCACAGCTCACTGTAATCCAGAACTCCTGGGCTTGAGAGATCCTCCTGCCTCAGCCTCCCAAGTAGCTAGGACTATAGACAAGCAACACCAGGTCTGGCTAATTTTTTTTTTTTTTAATTTCTTGTAGAGACTCGCTGTGTTTCCCAGGCTGGTTACAAACTCCTAGCCTCAAGCAATCCTCCTGCCTTGGCCTCCCAAAGCACTAGGTTTATAGGCATGAGCCACCAAGCCTGGCGGCAATTTTTCTTAAAGTATCTCACAAATATTAAATACATTAGCACACCAGAACAAATCAGCCTTAAAATAAAGCCACAGGATGCAAAATAAACCACAGTAATTATCTTCCCATAGATCATTAACCTCCTAAATGAATAGCCATTTCAAGACTACAGAAAATATGGAAAAGAAAAGGGCTTTGACCACTCGCAAGATACCTCATGTTCAGAAAGAAGCAAAAAAATTTGAATTTTTATTTATTTATTTATTTATTTACTTTTGGTTTGAGGGTTTTGTTGTTTGGAATTTTTGGTGTCTGGGTTTTGGTTTTGGGGTTTTTTGGTGATAAAAAATATATATTTTTCATTTATCTCTAAGTCAGGTTTTCATTTGTCCATTCAACAAGACTGAGCCAAATACTAGAGGAAAAGACAGGAACAAAACACATTTTTAGTCCTCAGGAAGGTCACAGACAGGAAAGCAGAACGTCCACAGCCTGGAAAGTTCTGTGTCCTAGGTATCAGTGCAGGAGGGAAGGGTGCAGGGTGACGGGTGCTAATCTATACTGGAATTAGGACAGGAACAGCTTCCTGGAGATGAATCAAGTCAATCTGGGAGAAACAAGAAGCAGTCTGGCCGTCTGGGGCACTGGGGAGGGGCAGTGGCCGCTGGGCCAGCAGTGAGGGCAGTGGAGCCTGTTTGTGCAGTGTCAGTTCACGGAACTACAGCTGAAGAGGAAGACGGTGAAGGAGAGTGGCTGCTGGAGAAGAGGCTCAGAAGAAGTTGTCGTAAATGGACTTTTGTTACAAGTTAAGAACTTTGGACTTCATACTGCAGGCACTGGAGAAACATGGAGAGGTTTGAAGCAGAATGTGATATGATTACATTTTAGAATTAAAAAAAAAAGATCACTCTGACTGAGGGAAATAGAAATGGCAGGTACTTCAGGAAATAATTCTAGGGGGTAGAAAAGAGAGAGGGATGGCAAGGCAGAATCAAGTTGGCCAACTGGGAGACATTTCCAGGGTGCTCCGTGCCAGCTGAGGGAATGAATGAGATCTAAAATTCCACCTCTGCAGTCAGCTCTCTAAGCCCTCCATCCTGATACAAGAGGTTTCCTCCAGCAGGAAGGGAGACACTTATCCCACAAAGGTGAACTTTGCTTCCCAAGCCCTGAACAAAGGGCTGTACTCATTTAAATGAAGGCTCTTTTTCTAATTTATAAACCCATAGGGGGTGCCTTGTTCTAAAACACATAAAGACAGTGGTATAAGCTAGGGACCTTGAGTTTGCAATGACTCAAGTGAGAAATAAGGTCCTAAACTAAAGCAGGGAGGATACCAGAGTAGAAGACACTTACACTGGCTCTTCATTCACCAGACATTGTGAGAGTGTACTCAGTGCCAATCTCTGAGCACACACGGAGTCATAGATAAGCTCTGCCCTGGGACGAGTGATAGAGTGATGTGGGAGGTGATGGAAACAAATGCATTTTCAAATGTCAAAATATGATTTGTAATCTGCCTTCTCAACCTACCCCTGATCCTAATGTCACTGTCCTGAGTAACGATTTTTGTACTCCAGGACCTCAAAATCCAAAAATCGACTTTGAATCATCCTTGTTCCCAGTCACCAAGCTTTGTAGGCTAGCCCTGCAATGCAGCTTATTCTTTCCTCCTCTTTGTGATTCCTACTGCTTCTAATCCAAATTCTTATTACTCCTCACTTGAGCTCCTGCAGTCAGCTCTCCAAGTCCTTCATCCTGGCACAGGTTTCCTCTTGCAGGAGCTCCAAGTTTTCCTTCCAAACTTATCTCCTTCTATTTTCTGATTATTTCTAATATTCACTCTGTCTCAAACAACCTTACCCTCCACCTCTGACTGTCAAAACCCTACACATTACACACTTCTCCATGAAGGGCTGTCCTGTGACGTAGTGAGCTTACTGTGTTCTAAAAGTGCTAAACAAAAATCTTGAAGAAATTCTGTTCAGAGAATTCTAGCATTAAGTAGAGGGTTGATAGGATCAGTAGTTCCCAAAGCCTAGTTTATCATCTGAATCACTAGGCGAACTTTTTAATGATTCTGACTCCTAATTCCTTCACTCACGAAATTCTGATTCCGGCCGGGCGCAGTGGCTCAAGCCTGTAATCCCAGCACTTTGGGAGGCCGAGACGGGCGGATCACGAGGTCAAGAGATCGAGACCATCTTGGCTAACACGGTGAAACTCCGTCTCTACTAAAAAATACAAAAAACTAGCCGGGCCAGGTGGCGGGCGCCTGTAGTCCCAGCTACTCGGGAGGCTGAGGCAGGAGAATGGTGTGAACCCGGGAGGCGGAGCTTGCAGTGAGCCGAGATCCGGCCACTG